CAACGAAGAAGAAGAAGAATTGAGATTGAAAGAAAAAGGATTAAATACAAGAGGTAGACAACGAAAAGACGCTGAAGAAGAAGAGAGGAAGAAGGAGAATAAAAAGTAGAAGAAGGGGGAGGAGGAGAACAGAAAGAAGAACCAAAGGAAGAACCAGGGGAACCGAAAAGACGAGGAGGAGAAGAAAAACCGAAAGAAGAAGAACTGAAAAAAGAAGAGAAACCGAAAGAAGAAGAAGAAGAACTGAAAGAATAAATGAAAGAAAAAACTGAAAGACGAAGAAGAACCGAAAGAAGATAAAACTGGAAGAAGAAGAAGAAGAACCGAAAGAAGAAGAAAAACTGAAAGAAGAAGAAGAGGAACCGAAAGAAGAAGAAGAAGAAAAAGAAGAAGAACAACAACAACAACAAGAAACTGAAAGAAGAAGAAATGAAAGAAAAACTGAAAGAGGAGGAACTGAAAGAAGAAGAAGAAGAAGAAGAAAAAGAACTGAAAGAAGAAAAAACTGAAAGAAAGAAAGAAAAAAAAAGAAGAAGAAGAAGAAAAAAAGAAGAAGAAGAAACTGAAAGAAGAAGAAATGAAAGAAAAAACTGAAAGAAGAGGAGGAACCGAAAGAAGAAGAAGAGCTGAAAGAAGAAAAAACTGAAAGAAGAAGAAGATGAAGAAAAAAGAAATAGGAATAAATTAAGAAAGGCATGAAAGGAAAGATAGAAATGAAAGAAGAGCAAATATAATAAATGACAATGAAGAACAAAAATAAGAAAAGATGAGGATTCTACAAGATGTGAAGTTCTGTTGAAGCGAAAGAATGTTTGAAGAACCAGAAGATGGAAAATAATACTCCCCACCCACTAAAATGATTGAAATAAGAAAACCAAATAAAAACGAAACTAATTCCTGGAAACGATTTAATAAGGAATATAGAAAACTCATACATAAATTAAGAAATTGACTCGAACAAATTATTTAAAAAAAAATATTTTACTCCAAGCAAGGCAATAAAGCCACTAAGACGTAAGTGGTTACTGAGCGTGAAATAATCTGAGAAAAAAAACTTATTAAGCAGAGATAAGACAATAAAAGAACAGGAATTAAGAAAACAAAAGGTGACGACTGACGTTGCATTTAAATTTTTGAAGACTAAAGCCACTAAGACGCAAAAGGTGGGGTACTGAGTGTTAAAGAATATGAGAAAAAACTACTATTAATGAGAGAGAAAAATAATAGAACAGGAATTAAGAAGACAAAAGGTGACAACTGGCATTGCATTTAAATGTTTTGGAGATCAATATCGACTGGAAATCAAAAAGCCGGAAGAGAGTTCCACAAGCGAGCAGTGTTAGTGAAGAAACTAGAACTTACGGTTGCATCCTGTCATTTTACAATGTACAAGGCCCGAGAGGTATTCAAGGTAGAGTGTTAAAGAGTAAGATGCACCATCCAAGCAAGGTGATACTGCCACTAACACGCAAGGGGCCACCAGAACGAAAAGATTTTAGAATTTATTTTTTTTTTAAAGGTAATTCACCCCAAGCAAAGCAGGAGTGCCACTAAGACGCGAGGTGTTACAGAGGATTGAGAAAAAGAGTAAAGAGGGATGTTTGAGGAAAGGATACAGAGAAAGACGGGGAACACGCCCAGGGTGTCAGATGCCGATTGACATTACACTTGAATATTTGAAGATTATAGTCATCATTTAAAGCAAGTAAGGGGAAGGGAGTTCCACAAACGGGAAATGCGGAAGAAGAAGCCATTTGAGAAGAGATACACATTTGAACGTTATGACAGTGAAAAGGTGGGACTGAAATGCCAGCCTTGTAGCTCGTTTAAATTCATGTAGTCCAGGAACCAGCTCGTCGGAACAGTTGCCGTGAAAATATTTATAGAAGAGATCGCACGTTTGTGGGATAGCGATTGTAGACGAGATGCCAGATCAGGACATATCATCTTGCATATTATTATTGATAATAACAACAAAAAATGCAATATGAGATCTGGTAAAAAACATGAATTGATAACAGCAAAAATTGCAATATGAGCACTGTTAAAAAAGGGTTGCTGATGACATTAGGTTTATAATACCTAAAAATCCATACATAGATGTCATTAAGGACACATGGCACAGTGGATAAAGGCGTTGGTTAGATCTAGTGTTCAGGACCCAAAGAGTGCGAGTTCAATACCCGGTTAGTGGAGAACTTGGAGAGAGGAATTAACAGGAGTTAACTAATAACTGACACCCATTAAAACATGGTTCATGGAACTAGAACAGAGAGTAAAGCCTAGTTATGTACTTAAATATCCTCGCCAGATCGAGAATATCATATGGACGCCATGCTTTGCACCAAACCTGTTTAGAAATAATCAGATCGATGGTTAAAATGGCTTTGTAAAATCGAAACATGCAGGACAGTGAGTGAGGACAATCATTCTTCAAAAATTATGGAATGGCCCGACAAATTTCCCAAATAATAGAAACAGAATCTATTTTGCATATTTATAAGTCTGCCATTCGTCCTCGCTTTGAATATTGCTGCCACTAATGGTCTGTTGCAGTATCTGTCGATATTTCTGAGATGAGGTATTATATACATTATTTACATTATTCGGACGATTGTCCTCATCTTTGTAGCCACAGCGACAAAGATGAGGACAATAGTCCGAATAATGTAAAAAACGGTCTGCTACTCATGCTATATATTTAGAGATTCTTGATAAAATCCAAAGAAGAATCTATCTTACATATTTATAAGTCTACCATTCATCCTTGCTTTGAATATTTGCCTCATCCGGTCTTGTGCTTATATATATTAGAGATTCTTGATAAAATCCAAAGAAGAATCTATCTTACATATTTATAAGTCTACCATTCATCCTTGCTTTGAATATTGCTGCCTCATCCGGTCTTGTGCTTCTGCTATATATTTAGAGATTCTTGATAAAATCCAAAGAAGAATCTATCTTACATATTTATAAGTCTACAATTCATCCTTGCTTAGAATATTGCTGCCACATCTGGTCTGGTGCTTCTGCTATATATTTAGAGATTCTTGATAAAATCCATAGAAGAATAAATCTTACATATTTATAAGTCTACCATTCAACCTGGCTTTGAATATTGCTGTCAAATCTCGTCTGGTGCTCCTGCTATATATTTAGAGATTCTTAATGAATACAAAGTAGTATCTGCTGTGTTATTTGTCCTGACCTGACATCTCAGCTTCCGTCACTTTACCCCCTTCGTAACGTAGATTCGCTGTGAGATTTTTCCACAAATTCGTTCATAGTAACTGTTCTCATAATGTTTCCTCTGTGTTACCTAGACTTTATGAATTTAAGCGTAATACATGATTGGTAAAAAGTGTCCTCATTTTACAGTTAAAATGGCTAGAAATAACCGTAAGTTTATGCTAACAGTTTCTTTTTCTCTCGCACTTCTTGCTTGTGGAACTCTCTTCACGCTTCTTTCTTTCCACTCAAAATTGATCTTCAAAAATCTAAATTCAATGTCAATCGATATCTTCTGTCTTCTTAATTCCCGTTTTTATATTGGTCTCTTTCCTTTATTAGTGTTTTTTCATATTCTCTCACACAAACCCCCTTGCTTCTTAGTGGCTTTATTACCTTGCATGTGGTGATTGATTAAAAAAAAAACATTAATATAACTATGAACTATTGTTGCTGTGTTTTAATATTGATTTTTTTTTTACAAAAGCCTGCCCGCATCTAAAAGCTTTAATTTCAAATATTTTACTGGTTTATTAGTTTCGTTAGGCGTTAACGATATGTGCTGGATATGTATATATACAAAAATATGAGAATTTGGCTCCGGAGTTGAAGAAACTTTAGGATCCGATTGTGGAAGTCATTTTTGTAGTTTATGAGCGAAAGACCACCAAGAGACTTGAAAATGTGCTTAGCGAAAATTGCAAATATTGAGATTAAGATTGTAGACGTCTAGAACTGCCATATTTTAATCTGTGAGGATTCTCCGGATGGCTTTTGAGATTTGAGGAGTCCTGTGGACACACGATAAGAATTTCCATCGACTACTACAATATGCGACATCAAGCATAATAATAATAATAATAATAATAATAATAATAATAATAATAATAATAATACCACCCAGATCCAGTTACGGAGATAGGACATGTTACAATTCTATGGGACTACACAATACACACTGACAGAACAATCAAAGATAACCGCCCAAATATTGTTATTAAAGACCACAAACGGTGCCTCCTTATTGATATGGCAGTCCCTGCTGACTGCAATGTATCTTTGAAGATATTCAAAAAGCTGTCAAAATACAAGGACCTTGAAATAGAAATCTCGAAAATGTGGCATATGGGAACATCAACAATCCCTGTTGTAGTTGGAGCCCTAGGACTGGTTGGAAAAGATTGCAGTAGACTAATTGAAGAGATTCCTGGAAGTCCATGCCTCAAGGAGATACAAAAAATTGTTCTGACAAGTACAGCCAACATTTTACGAAGGGCTTTATCTATGTAACTTTTTTTTTTTTTTTTGTCAGTGGAAAGTGTCATGACGCCATTTCTAACCTTAGGTCCCTGGGCGGGACCCGGAAAAAAAATGTAAACATAGAAATCAAAGAAAATAATAATAATAATAATAATAATAATAATGATAAAAACATTTTACTTCGTATCAGATTTCCAACAGGGCTTCTGAAAGATCCTTAAATTTTCATAATTTGGTAACAGAATTGTAGTAAGAAAAATTAATGACAAAGAGGAAACATTTTTGTCTTTTAGGACTACTTTGGACTAAAGAGATGTTTAGTGTTGATGTCGCTACCCAGGCACTCGAAGGAAGAGTGGGGTTGAACTTGTAAACTTTTAAAAATTAAATTATTTTTTTTTATTCATATATGTTTGTTACAGTAAGGTTCACCCTTTACAAGGACCGTATCTCTGTATGGGAGAGGAAGATAACGGTTAACCCTAGCCTTGAACATTAACCTGTTCAAGGCT